AAACCGATCACTGTAACATAGTAACCGATCACTGTAACACAGTAACATAGTAACCGTTCACTGTATCAAATTACTGTAAAACATTAACCGATCACTGTAACACAGAAACCGATCACTTTAACATAGTAACCGTTAACAATAACCAATTACTGTAAAACAGTAACCGATCACTGTAACACAGAAACCGATCACTGTAACATAGTAACCGATCACAGTAACCAATCACTGTAACACAGTAACAGGCAACTGTAACACAGAAACCGATCACTTTAACATAGTAACATAGTAACCGTTCACTGTAACAGTAACAAATTACTGTAAAACAGTAACCGATCACTGTAACACAGCAAACGATCACTGTAACATAGTAACCGTTCACATGAACACCAGCAAACCGTCACATCTGTCAGAGGATTCATGAAAAAAAAGCTTCAAAATCTAAAGTGCCAGCACGAATAAATACGCATCAAATTTAGAAAAAGGGAGAAAAAGCATGGACTGAGATGAGCTGGAGACCGGAGCCGTCATGAGCACAGAGAGTCTGTACATCAGGCTCCAGATCCGCCACTCAACGCTTCCTGTTTGAGACTATCGCCACTGAAATATGATGTGCTTTTGACTGCTGATTGTGATGGATTGTCAATACATTCTCTTCTCCTCACTACAATTACACTGAGATTCAAGGCCAACAATAATCTTTGAGAAATATGTATCGTTTTGGAAAAACAAAACAAAAACATAATAATTACATACATAGCGCTATCAGCAAGAAAAACATCACAGAATGTGTAGAAAGACAGAAGCTAGTCATACTAGTTAACCAGGTCAATCTGAAAATAACACTTTAGATCACAAATCTGTCATGGCAGTGAGAGGAAATTATTTTATGTATATCAAAATTCACAAAATGCCCAGCACTCGGAATATTCAAAATACATATCAGAAATCGTTTTTAAAAAGGTGGTGACATCGATACAATATTGCTTTGCCAAAAATGTGAGTTGAATTGAGAACTGACAGTGAAGTCCTTTCCAGGGTCTAATGGATCTCACTAGAAAAGTAAAGTGTGAATCAAACATCTCCGATTGTAATAAACGCAGAAGTCTTGAAGTGAAATGTTGTGGAGACTAAACTGATCAAACCTGCATCGTCACATTAGCTCATCGACCATAAACAAATCTTATCAAATTTATGAATAATAGCACTATCTTTTAGCAAAATAAACCCTGACAACTTTTGAAATCTTTGTGGTAAATCAAATTTAAGACCAAACTTTAAGAAAATAACTGCATATCGCTTAACTTCGCCCTCATTTGCGAAAAAAAAAAAGTGATCCAATATATGTTTTCAATCATGAAATCTTTGTGGTAAATCAAATTTAAGACCAAACTTTAAGAAAATAACTGCATATCGCTTAACTTCGGCCTCATTTGCGAAAAAAAAAAAAGTGATCCAATATATGTTTTCAATCACATCAGGCAGTAGATTTATTCACTCAGGTGTGTTTTAAAGCAGAATGCATGAAAACAAATGGTCAATTTATCCCAAAACATCATTCGTGACATCAGTCAGACTCTGATTGTTTGTGTGAAGAAACCGAAGACTTAACTTGACGTAAAACGCAGATAAAAATGTACTATAATATTAGAATAAGCCACTTGTATTGGCCAAATTATTGGACTTGATGTCAATTTTTCACTTGCCTCTGTGAGTGAAAAATAGAAAAATACAGGAATATGTTTATCAAAAGGTAAACGCTGTTATTGACTATATCTAATGAATAACGTTGTTCAGATTCCTGACTCTCTAACTACACCACAGTCATGATTCTGTATTTGGTCCATATCAATGCAAGATTTTAGCAGTTTATTGAAGTAAATCAAAATAAAATGTAAAAAAAAAAAAAAGACCCCACCCCCCCACACAAAAAAACAACAACAACAGCTGATTGCGATGTGATCATGAAATTATTTCTGGACGTCCAGAATTCATAAATGTGCAACTGACTGTACAAAAGGATGAGAATAGAAACAAAACACATGCACACACCCAAAACAAACACCGTTAGCCGCTTTCCCCTGAGCGAAGGGACGAAATATTAAGGAATCAGGAGATATAATGATATAATAAAACTGGCTCATACTGATTCAGACCAGCACTTAATCCAGTCGTATTTTGCACCTCGAATCTGATGCTCTCGTCCGTCCAGCAGGAGGAGACAGAGTTCAGATATCTGTCACTGGCGCTCAACGATCAGATCAAATACTGAGTAATACTCTTATCAAGCATCGAGCCCATGCAAATACTCACTTATGAATTCATAAAGGCATCTACAGTCTTGAAAAAAGGTAAAACAAAAGATGTGGAGAGGCGAGGGACTGAATGAGAGCGCGAGAAACCGCTTGCATTCTTTACTAACTGGACGTTTTCATCCCGTATACAAAATACATGCACAGTCGGTCAGTATCAGTCACACAAATAAACCCCCCAATGAGAAATGAAATAAGTGCTTGGCCTTCAAGTGTTTCTCTGACCAAAAAACAAAAAAACAAAACACAAATAACAACTTCCCTTCAATTTGCTTTTAAAATAGAGATGCTGAAATGATGCTGAGGGGAAGAGAAAACCAGCAAGCATAAAGGAACCAATCAGATGTCACGGACAGCAGGAAGTAAACGTTGATCGCAGCGAGGCTTAGTCGAGTTTCTTCTGCTCTCTCGGGCTGAAGTCGGCGCAGAAGCCGTTGGCGGCGTGGGACGGGGAGCTGCTGCCGAAGCCTGTGTTGTCTGAGTAGAGGTACTGCTCGGCGAAGTCTGGATGCTGATCCACAAACTCCCTGAAGCGCTCTGCCAGCAGGAGGCGCCAGAGGAACAAGAGTCAGAGCAGGAAAACAACATCTGAAACACAGCGGCTAAATAACTGCACACTTCTACACGACGCATGATTCAGATGCTTCTGTTAAGAGCAACTTGTGGGAACTATGTCAAGACACAGAATAGGCTGCGTTTACAAATGCTTGTGCTTTCCATCAAATGATAGCACGATGAGGCATGAATGTTAAGTTACAGCAGGGTAGCATGAATTGGGGGAGAAAAAAAAATCTATGCATTTTGTCCTGATAAATGTATGATTGCAATTTAAAATGCAATGAATAAATAAAAAATCCAGATAGCTGTGCTTGTTTGTATGGTTGTACAATTTTGGCCAAAGTGATTATATCTCAAAATGGAGATAAAATAATAATAATAATACTACATAAACATTACAATAAACTTTCAATATTAATACAAAATGACTAAAAAGTAAGAAATGTTATTATTGCAATATTCCACTGTAAAACACAAAAACAGGGTATTGAGGAAAAGTTACATAATAATCCTTTTATATTACATTAGAACTGTAAAATTGCAATAGTAACATTCATGGCTAATATTCACCTAACATTAATCTTACTTTCCTCAATTTCAAACAATAAACCAGCAAATATGTATTTTGATGGAAAACTGCAGGGAGCGCTTAAAGCTTCTCGTTTGTTGTCGTCATTTAACTCCCACTGTTTTTGATGATAAAACCAGAACATTTTAAAAAGACAATGTCATTTCTGAAAAAAATACAAAAAAATAAAACAAACATTCTATTCCACCCTACTGTAAAATAATTGGAATAAATTATTAAATTGTTAAAGTTAATTAAGTCAAGTGGCTAGACATTATTTCTGATTACTAAAATTTAATTAAACCATTACAGTGAAATTAAGAACAATTAAAACGAAATATACAGAATGAAACCAATAAACCAAATTTGTGAGGGGGGTCAGATCATTTGGCCTTAAAATTTAATTTTTGTTAAACTTTTAATAAATTGTTATTAAATTGCAAGTTTTATTATTTCAATTAATTAGGCATGCTTTTAATTACTAAAAATGTACTTAAAATTGAATTAAAACAGAAAACAATGGAATTTTTTTTAAATAAATGGCAATTAAAAATAAATTAATCAATAAAAATAAAATTTAAAGAGGAAAAATGGAACTGATTTCGTAGTGCCCTAAAAATGCCATTTTTATTTCCCTTTGATAAATTGATGTTAAATTGTATACGTTTCAATATGTCAACTAATTAGACATGTTTTTTGATTATTAAAACTTAACTATTAAAACTAAAAAAAAAAGAAATTCAATGGAAAAATCCATTACATTAAAAATTAATTTCCCATACAAAAAATAAACCGAAAAACAGAATTTTGGGAAACATAAAATGGATTCATAGTGCCGTTTTCATCGATTTCATCTTCTGCAAGTGTCTGCAGGTTAATTCTCCTCATCAACGTCTGTAATGATAACGAGACTCACCCCAGACTGCGCACCAGTTTAGCGAACTCCAGCAGACACGTGTCGACGGGCAGCCGGATCTGACCCTCCGCCATGGCTAGCTGACAGTCTTCATACGAGTAGTCTGTGACGGGGACCTGCAGGGCCCTTCAGACATAACACATGACAATCAGACACACGCATTCATCAGAGTCTGTCCTAACATACAGCAGAAACATTTGGTTATGATTATGATCCCTCTGTTGAGATGTCTCACTCATCACCCTCCGAGAACCAAGGTTATAACCATAACCAAATGTTCTCTTTCGGTCGACTCGCTCGACATCTCACTATGGGATATAGAAAACACCCAATATTCAGGCATCCCTACCTTACTCATTGCACTTAGGGGTTTCTGTTCTCCTTTCCCTTATAAATTTTTTTTTGTGCTTCCAGCACTGCCTGTACCAAGGCAGACTTTGTAACATCCAATTTATAAAATCTCACAAATGTATGTGGAGCGGCCCAGTCAGCTGCTGAACACACATTTTCCATAGAGATGCCTTTAAATAACACCCAAGACGCAGCCATTCCCCTTGTAGAATGGGCCCTTAGGTTTGCTGGTAATAGCTGACCCTTTGCTGAATACACCAGCTTCATAGCCTCCACTATCCAGTG